GCCCGGCACCTGGATGCGCTATAACCTGCAGTCGGCGCTGCGTTCTGCAGCCCGGGAGTTTTCCCACATGCTGAGCCGGCCAGTGCCAGGCTATGAGCCGGGCTACATCCCTGGCTACGACACTCCTGGCTATGTGCCTGGCTACCACGGCCCTGGGTACCGTCTGCCTGACTACCCACAGCCCGGCCGGCCTGTGCCAGGTTACCGGGGGCCTGTCTACAACATTACTGGAGAAGAAGTGTCCTTCAGCTTCAGCACCCACTCTGCCCCTGCCGTCCTGCTTTATGTCAGTTCCTTTGTGCGTGACTACATGGCTGTGCTCATCAAGGAAGACGGTAAGCTCCCGACAGGCTCTCTCCCTCAACTCCAGCTTGCTCCAGTGCACCCCTCATTTTCATAACTTGATTCACTGGGGACCCAAGCAATCTTAGAAGACGGGGATTGTGGGAGCTGACAGACTCCCTCTTTCTCTTCTCTACTGCACAGGGACCCTGCAACTGCGCTATCAGCTGGGCACCAGTCCCTACGTATACCAACTAACCACCCGACCAGTCACTGATGGCCAGCCCCACAGTGTCAACATCACCCGGGTCTACCGCAACCTCTTCATCCAGGTATGTGTAGATGGAGGTGGACCAGTTCAGACTGTAAGTTCATAATCTAGGTTGTGGCACCCAGGAAAATGTCAAATATTTAGCATTTGTGAGCATATGCCAATTTACAGAGGACTTTCATGTCTATTACCTCGTGAGACTCAAAACAGGTCTATGAGGCAGTTTGGGCAGGCAGGTGTTCTTATTATCTCTGTTTTACAAATGAGTAAATGGGCTCAGAAAAGTGAGTTTCCCCAAAGTCAAACCACTGGGAAGCTGCAGAAACAGGGCTCGAAACCAGGTTGTTGGGTTTTTAATACCAAATCCTACATCTGGGTCCAGGAATCACTCAACCTAAGACTGAGCTAGGACTTACCGCCACTTTAGACAGAGCTCAGAGTTCCTGCATGGTCTTGGCTCCGTCTGCCTCTGGTTCTCCCTCCTTCATCTCCTTTCCCTTCCCTGCCTCAGGTGGACTACTTCCCACTGACAGAACAGAAGTTCTCACTGTTGGTGGACAGCCAGCTGGACTCGCCCAAGGCCTTGTATCTAGGGCGTGTAATGGGTAAGCTATGGGTGAGAATGCGTTTTGGATTAAGAAGTGAGTGAAGTCCCTGGAACCTAAAGGAGAGTGAAGGAACTGAGAATGGCAGTGAAGGTGGTGATAAAGATAAGTAAAACCTATGCATGGTGAGAGGGAGCAAGGCTATTGGTGGTCCAAGCCCCTTTCCTTCTGGACCCGCCTCTCCTTCAGAGACAGGAGTAATTGACCCGGAGATCCAGCGCTACAACACTCCAGGTTTCTCGGGCTGCCTGTCCGGTGTTCGATTCAACAATGTGGCTCCCTTGAAGACCCACTTCCGAACCCCTCGACCCATGACAGCTGAACTAGCTGAGGCCCTTAGAGTTCAGGGAGAACTGTCTGAATCTAACTGTGGAGCCATGCCACGTCTTGTATCAGAGGTGCCACCTGAGCTGGATCCCTGGTATCTCCCCCCAGGTACAACGCCGGGACACAGAAGAGGGAGGGAGGGGAGGGACAACAGGGAAGGAAAATGATTCTTAACACGGAGGAAGCTTTTCCTAACTGGTGCTTTCTCCTCTTCAGACTTCCCATACTACCACGACGATGGATGGGTTGCCATACTTTTAGGCTGTGAGTAGTGCGATCACTACCCTGACCTCCTAACCCCACCCTCTGACTGTCAGCATTCTCTTCTGCCCAGTATCCCTAGGGCTGAAGGCACTGGGTGCACAGTGGTGCGAAGAAGGATGAGATAGGCTGGAGATTTTTATATGTTTGAGGATGTTATAGACTTTTAATTGGAATATTAAAATGGGGCAATGGCTAAGGAATGAGGAAATGGGGGTACAGTAGAGAGATGAGAAATTAGGGGTAACTACCAGGGATGTGGAAAGAGAATATTAGAAACAGAATATAGCAGGGGATAAGCCAGGAATTCAGACCTACCAGACTCTTAGGAATAGGCTGACGTAGTAGTAGAGCAGACACTGTCATACATGTATGCTTTTGGTCGAAAGCATACATGTGTCTATATATGGGTGAGACCCCACAGATCTGAATTGTTCCTTTTTCTCTCTTTCAGTTTTGGTGGCCTTCCTGCTGCTGGGGCTGGTGGGAATGTTGGTGCTCTTCTATCTGCAAAATCATCGTTACAAGGGTTCCTACCACACCAATGAGCCCAAGGCCACCCATGATTACCATCCCGGCAGTAAACCTCCCCTACCTACTTCAGGCACTGCCCGGGCCCCAGCCCCTACACCAGCTTCCACCCAAGTTCAAGCCCCAGCCTCAGCCTCAGCCTCAGCCCCAGCCCCAGCTCCAGCCCCAGCTCCAGCCCCAGCCCCAGCCCCAGGCCCAGCTCCAGCTCCAGCCCCAGCCCCAGCCCCAGCCCCAGCCCCTGGCCCCCGGGACCAAAACCTACCCCAGATCCTGGAAGAGTCCAGGTCTGAATGAACCAGAAGGGCTTCAGGGACCAAGTCCATTTCCTCTGAATTCCCCAGTACCTGCTTCTACTCCACCCAGTCAGGGACATTTGGCTCCTCTTAGCTGGTTCTGTTCATCCAGAGGATGCCCCTCCTGCCAAGTTTGGTGGGCAGAGCTACAGATGGGACCAAAGGGAGTGGCTGAGCCTCACTGCCTAAACCAATGCCCTGCCCATTTCCATTTCCCCAGGCTCCTGGTTGTTTGCCTGCCCCAAAGAAGCCTCACTGGGTTGTGACAGGCCCTTCCTGCCATCCCTGTCCCAGCTGCTGCCAGGGGTTAACAGAGTGCAGGGGAGATTAACTGCCTCCCTTCAAACATTCAGTCTCAGCAGGGACAGATGTGTGGGATTGCAGGGATGCACAGGGTATGGAGGGAGGAGGCTGCTAAATCATATCCCCAGCCTCCCCACTGCCCTTCAGATCTTCCATCTGCTTCCACTCAGTTGGGGGTTAGGGAGGGCTCCATCGCTATCCCCTGCCCTGCTTTTTCTTTTTTTTACAGAGACCAAAAGGCCTCAGTTTAGCACCTTGGTACCTCCGCTGCTTCACATGCTTTAGCCAAAGCCATAAAAGTGTAGAGAGAATAATGCAGACACACCGACTAGCCAGGCCCTCCACTCTTCCTCCCTCTTCCAAGATATGCAATAGCCTTGGTGCTTGTCCAAAGGCTCAGCCCCATCTCCATTGCATGAGGAGCCCTCTTTCCTCCGCTCAGAGATGCTGCTTCGTTTGCCCAGGTCATATTCTTTATATATATATTTTGTTGCAAAGTCTCTCTCTAGAGAAACTCTATATATTACTCTAATTTTTAAATTATCAGTTTATATATAAAAGAAAAAATCAATCAACTGTTCTGTCTTGTGCCGTGCCCATGGTCTGTAGTTTGCTTCTCCTGTGTTAGGAGTCCCATGAGGTCTGCTGGTCACTCAGCCAGCCTGGTCCAGCCTCCACTCTGAAGCTGTGCTCTGAGACTCGGAGCTGTTCTAATAAAGCAGAGTGGCAGAGCTCCAGTCTGTGTGTGGTAGCTGGTGTCGTGGTTAGGGGTAAGTGAGATGGTTTTAAGGGAACTAAGCTGAGGGCCCAGGGATTTCTATGCAGAGCCCTCAGAATTTTGTATCGCCCACCAGGAACCTGACTGGTTCTTCCCAACTCCCTTCCCTCCCGCAGCCCCAGATCTCAGTGGACAAGTTGGGGTCAGAATGCTAAAGCTTCAGCCCAAGCTGACCCTGAACCACCATCCCTGGATCCTTCCAGATCCAAAGCACACGATACACAACTTGCCAAATGGATTCTGCCACTTTATTCAGATAAGAGGTCACAAGCCACAGGACTTTAAAGTGCGTGAAATTCACTGGCAATAAAGCCGAACATATACCAGCCTCCCTTGCCCCCAGTCCCCACCACCTCACTCCATTCATCATTACATGTCTGGTGGGAGGGACTGAGACCCGTCATTAAAGGTGAGGGACAGCATGGAAAAAGGATGAGAATGCTGCAACAGGAGTATTAGTGGTCTGAAACTGGGGAAGGAGGGCATGGACCAGAGAGTCTGCATTGAGGGGAGGGTGGGCCAGTCTAGCCTCTCAAAGACTGGATACAATTCTTTTCCACCTGTTCCTCATGGTCAGCCCCTGGCACTTCAGACAGACCTAATTTCTCCTTCATCCATCTCTGGTTTTCCTCTATAATTTATAAGTAATTAAGAGTACACAGTCCAGCCAGAGGGTATCCCCAATATACAACGAATACAAACCACAGCATATGTAGATTTCAGAATCATGACAGGGGCTGGCCCAGTCAGGTGAGAAGAGGCTCCGTCAGGCACTGGCTGGGCGTGTGCTCTGTGCTGAGTATATGTGCCCAGGAGTGTGGTGAGAGAGAGAGAGAGAGGAGAGAGGAAGAGAGGAAGAGAGAGAGAGAGAGGAGAGAGGGAGAGAGGGAGAGAGGGATATTTGTTCTAGCTCTCTGAAAAATGTCATTGGTATTTTGATAGGAATTGCATTGAATCTATAGATTGCTTTGGGTAGTATGGGCATTTTAACAATGTTGATTCTTCCTACACATGAACATGGTATATATTTCCATTTATTTGTATCTTCTTCAATTTCTTTTTTCAATGACTTATAATTTTCTGAGAATAGATCTTTTACCTTCTTGGTTAATTTGATTTCCAGGTATTTTATAGTTTTCAAGGCAATTGTAAATGAGATTTTTTTTCTTAATTTCTCTTTCTGAAAGTTCATCATTAGTGTATAAAAATGCCACTGACTTCTGAAAGTTTATTTTGTAACCTGCTACTTTATTGAATTCATTAATCAGTTCTAACAGTTTTTTGGTTAATAATGTATGCCTGTGTAAGTACACCCGAAAGAGAGAGAGAGACGGAGAGAGTGAGGGAGAGAGGGAGAGAGGGAGAGAGGGAGAGAGGGAGAGAGAGAGAGAGAGAGAGAGTGTGTGTGTGTGCGTGTGTGCGTGTGCATGTCCCACAAAAATCCCTGGGTTCCCTAGGCAAAGGGGACTCCAGTAAGTTTCATGGGACAGCCAGTGGGGTTGGAGGAAGGGAGTGGTCAGCATCAACTGGGAAAGAGAGGCTCTGATTCCCCACAGAGAAGGGAGAAGCCTGCTCCCTCTACTAATACTCCCTAGGCCAGTCTGTACCTGCCCACATCCTTTTTACCCAACACAATGTACCTTATTTCCTGCCAGATCAGCACATCAGCCATAGACATAGGGCTGCTCTTAGAGCTGGCCCCATTCTCATTCAATTCTTCTGTGTCAAGGTATCTCTTTCTGCCTCCACCAGGAGATGGGACAGAGCTGGAGGAAGCTTCCACCCCTCTCCTTCCCACTTTCTCAGGAATGGGATTTGGACAAGGACCCCTCAGACCTCAGCTCAAACTCCACCTCAATCTACAGACCTTCTAAAAGGAATAAAGTGCTTTCCTCTGCATGAATCCCAGAGAGAATGGCACCATGGACTGGCACAGGCAGTCATCTTGACACTTCGAATACCCTCTGCCAATCTGCAGTACACACATGATGCCATCCTAAATACGTGCAATTTGGGAGCCCCTCACCCACCTCCAAACACATACTGTCAACTCATCCTTCCCAACAGCAGGTGCTACAGACAGGAAAGTAAATCACAACAACCTCCTCCCTCTCTAGTCCAGGCCCACACCCATCTACCTGAAAGAGATAAGTAACAGTGGCCTGGCCTCAAAGGGGAATAAAAGGCCTGAAAACAACTACAGATGCAGGGAACCAGAGCACTCACACCCAGCCCGGCAACCCCCCACCCCCTTCAGCAGCAGCATAATGCCTGCCTGCAGTCGTTAAACTTTGGAAGGAGCTAACAGGGCACTGGCATTTGTTCCTGGGTATCTGAAAATGATTCCATCTCGAATATACAGAGGTTTCTCAAAGCCTGCTGGGCCCCAAGCTGAGCAGTTTTACCTACTGTCATCAGGCTAGTACTTGCTCTCTGTCCATGGAAGGATGGCACTTGGCTTTCCTTCTCCCAGCATTGAATAGCTAGCTATACTTAGAACCCACTCTTTCAGTTTGAACCCTGCCGGGAGGGAAGAGGTAGTAAGGTGACCCATCTCCCCTCTGAATTCAGTCTGTGCTGCCTGCCAGGCTCACCTGTAATCTAGACCACTCGTAAGCTCTAGGTACTAAACTTCACTTAGCCTGTCCTCTCCAGGTCGTAGGACCACAGAGATATGCTGTGTCCAATAACATAAGGACCCTGTATTGGAAAGTTAGAATTACAGGCTAATGCTTGTTAGGAAATGCCCAAGTTGATTCCTGAGGCCCACAGCCTGGGTGACAAGACCTAAAGAATAATGTCATCCAACCCCAGCCTGTACTCTCTTCCTCTGAGACTTGATATGCAGTCTCTGACTTCTGCAATGCTCTCTCCTGGGAGCCCAAGCCCTAGCTGCCTCTGTCTCCCCTCTCACTGAGACAGTTTTATCCCCACTGGACACAGCTGAGGCCTCACTACAGAGGGAGTGGGTGGGGTTTCTTGGTGTGGGAGACACATAGTGCAGGAAACTCGAGCAGCAGTGGTATGTGCATGAAAGCAAAGACAGTGCCGCTACCACAAGCGCTGGTGTGGGGCCAAGGAGGGCTAAAGGACATCAGTCTCTCTCTCGATCCCCACGTACTTGAGGGCATCAGCTTGGCTGTACCTGTCCCGGAGCAGGAGGAAGAACCAGGTTACTAACAAGCCTTTTGTGATTGAAAAGATGGAGTCTCCTCCCATTTCACTTCCCTTCCCACTTCCTACTAGTGGTTTATAATGCTCCCCGTTCTGCAGCAAGGCACCAGAGATCAGAACAAAGAAAACGCCTTGACCACTGTGAGATCTTCTTCTTCATCTATATCACCCACCTTAAGCC